ACAATAAAAATGTAATAAAATTTGATACCGTAACAATAAAAGAATGCAGACTGGAGCAATTAATGCCGGCGCATCAGAAATTGAAAGCAGTGTTGCGGAACATTTTTGAAAACATCAAACTTTGCTTCTATTGTTTTCTCGATAAGTGTATGAGAAAAGTAACGTGAAAGTAAGTGATAACGTAATAACAAGCAAAGTAATGCGTTACTTTTCAGCGAAAGTAATTTTTAACGGTAATTCATTACATTCGAGGCTCGGTCATTCGTAATTGGAATCCATTACCTTTTCCAAGTAACGGGCACAAGTCTGAGGCATACCCTGTTTGACCTATATAAGATACCCCAGCTTATGCTCCCAGCGGACTTGTACGATAATCATTAGAAGGAATAAAGTTACTCGTAATCGATTACTTTTTTGAGTGATTTTGTAATCATTTGATCGCGTTTATTAGGAAGTATTCACAAAAGTAATCTGATTAGTCTTGGAACTGCTAATTTTACTTGTAACCGTTCTTATTTTTCCGTCCGTATTCTAACGGCGCCTTTCTTCGTAAAAGTTCGATATCACGGAATCCTCGAACACAGTCTCAGGCAGGAGGTTAGTTTATCAAGATGGACGGATTAAGAATATAGGTAGGTCATAAATCGGTGATTCTAATCCAATTTTGGACAGTACGAGATACCCGTTTTCAAACCGACAGAAAACTCTCGTCAATTTACAAACCTGGAATAATCGGAGCTTTGACACTCACTTTTTCGTGTAACGGCCAATAACGTTTCGTTTCGAGTATTCAGGTAACCGAACTGAATACTTTCTAAGCACGAGTAATTGTAATTCTCATCGATTACTTTTTTTTTCCGGGTAACGTGTTCAAGACTGGCTATGAGCCATCCCAGCCAAGTTGGGGCCGTACCACGTGACTATACACCAACTCATGTTTACAAACAAACCGGAGCGCCCCTAGCGGACGTCACCGGCGCCGCGCATGCGCCGTGGATGGTGGGCAAGAAGCCCGCCGTCGCCCATAAACAAACCATTGAATTGCGTTGTTGTCGGCGTCGGTGGGAGTCCCCGTGCTCTTTTTCGCGTTGGAATTGTTGATTCTACGTCCTCCTAACAATGTCTGACTGCTTGAGCGGCTTCAGCAAAACTATCGAGGCAAAACTTTGCCTGAATAATGTGACTAGCGGCGATTCATTTCACGTGGACGCCGCAGAATGGGCGCTAAAGCCTGACTCCCACGTCGAGATTCTGCTCGCTATTTTCAGTCGCGACGTCGCTCGGACTGCAAAAGCGTGGACCGTAGCTGAGATGGTGGACATCGATACTGAAAACCTCAAGTAGAATCGGGCATTACAAGTCGGTGATGGCCACTGGTAACAATGATTAACAACTTCTTGTATCTGTTTACACTTAGCCGACTTACCCCAACCAACTTTCAAAAGTGTTTTGAGGCCTGCACTTAGTTCTTATCGCAATTACCGGGTCAATGTTTGGTTTACGAGCCGCTGTCGTTTGAACGAACTGACGACAAAAAGCAGCCAAGTTTGAAAGAGCAGACGACAGTTGGAACGCACGCGCAATGGAGTACGGGCAAGAAGCACCGCGTCCCGCGTCAACAAACCATTCGAATGTCACGTTGTCGGCGTCTGTGTGAGTCTGCATACTCTTTTTCGCGTTGGAGTTGTCGATTCTACGTCCTCATCGCAATGTCTTACCACTTTAATCGCCTGAGCGAAATCATCAAGGCTCGTTACGCTGCTAAACTTTGCATAAATAATTTGACGTGCGGCGATGTATTTGCATGACCGCCGCAGAATGGACGTACAAAACCATGATGAGACTCTTCTAGCTATTTTCGGTCGCGACGACCCTCGTGCTGCAAAAGTGTAGAAGGCAGAGGCGATGATCGACGTCGATACTGAAAATCGGAAGCGGGAACAGACAAAGCGTAACAAATAGGTGATGGCCACCGGTACCAATGATCAACATCTTGTATCTACTGCTTACACCGAGCCTTAAGTCTTTCGAGGCCTGCAGTTACTTCTTATTGCAATCACCGGGTCAAAGTTTGGTCTACGGGCCGCTTTTGTTTGAACGAGCAGACGACAAAAAGCAGACAACTTTGAAAGAGCAGACGAAAGTTCGAACGATCAGGCGGCCGTGTGAATTTGAAGACGCACTGAATCCGTGGGTGGTCCGGACAACTTGGGGGTTTTCTCTCGGTCATGTTGGAACAAAGCAAATACATCTGGCGACTACAAATTGTGGCCCGCACACGCAATCGTAGTTCGACAGCGTCAGGTTTGCCCTTTTCACGGCTGCTATTGACGTTCTCGGACGAACGGAGGGTGCAAAAACACATGAAAACTGATCTTCAAACCTTCCCAGACTCTCTTTGTAAAGCCCCCATCGCAGCATTTTGACGAGAAGGCAGCTTTTGTGTCTCGTTTCTTCCAAAGGAACACAGGAATGCATGTCTGGCACGGCGACTTCTGCCCACCGCCCCAGACCGGAAGTGCGTCCGGCGCGCCACCACCGCGGCGTGACGTAGGAGAGTTGAGTTGGTGAATACGCTCCCCTCGCGTGGCTGCGACACTCCCGTCTCCCGACGGTCACGTGACGTTCGCATGGCGTCCGATCAGCTTTGATGGCTCGAAGTGTCCTCCTCGGTCTATCGTCGAGGTGAAAGGGAGTGTGCAAACCGCCGACGCCAAACCGACAGAGTTTCCTCGCTTGCCACCGGAACCGGTCAAGGCAACGCGACTCGTCGTCAAGGGCTGTTCTTCGAGAGCGCGTTCGAAGAGCCGAGAGCAGAGACGGGCCGGTGTCGTTACTGAACCCGCTCATTAGGCAGGCCGCGCGTACGGCCTGGTTCCTCGGAAACACGCGGGCGTATAGGGACCATGCCCCCATGCGGGGAGCGCACCAGAAAAGGACAAGAGAAACGGTGAGGCTCAAAAACGAGCGATCTGTTCCAGTCGGCCGACCCGCCGCTGTCGCGGATTCCTTGCGGAGGTAATAAGCGGGTTTCCGACTCCAAAAAAAACACACACACAAAAAAAAAAAAAAAAAAAACCAAAACGTCGCGAGGCTTTTTTTTGTTTTATTATTGAATGAAGAGGAGTGCCGTAAAACTATGGGGCTAGCGGGACAATCAAAAAATTAATAAAAAAAAACCTGTACTCCGTTTATCGCTGGGCTCACAGTGCGGTGGAAGCTTCGTGCTCGTTGGACCAGTCATGGGTCTATCTTCTGTCACGTGATCAGGCTAACCGCCCATAGCCACGCGCAGAGGGCGAAGTCGGGTGATGAAAGGGAACAGCTTGATCGGTCCGGCGAGCCCGTACCACCCACTGCACTGTCAGCTGAGGGTAGCATTCCTGGAACAAAAATCTAGACAAGCATGGAGACAAGAGGAAAAGAATTCCCCGTCGTTGCTAGCGAGAGAACTAAAAAGAAGCGGGCGTGATTAGACGATGCGCGGGGGTCTGGGTATCAAGGGGAGTACCGCGAGCTGATCCGACGCGACGACAAAATATTGCGGTGCCGCCGAAAATTTGAGGAAAGGTGGAATCGCCTCGAGGGGAGGGGGGAGGCGGGGGGGGGGGGGGGGGGGGGGGGGCGACTGCCTACGAGTCTCCGCGAACGAACTCTATCTTTTTTTTCTTAAATATATTTTAATATTTTGTATGGTAGCTACGTTCTTCTGATTTTTTTGCAATGTTTCCATGTTGTTTTATTTAGTCAATGTTTAGTATCACTCCATGAAATGGGTCTGTGAGATGACAGCCATTATTATCAGCGAAGAAGCCAACCGACCCTAGCACTATCCCTTTGCAGCGAGCGGCCTATCCTCCTTGCGTTGTTTTATCGCCAGCTTCGTCGCAATGCATTCCAATTTTGGCAGTGTAGCTTTCTGAGAATGGCCACTGTTCAGGGGTTCCAATTAAATTAGACTGCACGGTCGAAATGGCATTTCAACAATGGACACTCATCTTTATCTGCCAATTCCATAACCGCCCCCATGAAGAGTTCACCTTTCCCCAAACTCCGTAACATGACCTATGTCGCGGCGGTTTACTTGCTGTGACACAAACCTCAGCGCCGCACCATGCCGCACCATGCTGTAGTTATTTTTATTTTGATGGGCATATACAAGTTTAAGCAAACCTTGGATACAGTAATCTGTATCCGAGCGTCTAGAAAGCTGTGGTCTCTGCGAAAGATTATGATACACTGCACTCCTGAAACGGAGCTAATGGCGTATAAACCTCTAATCCGTCCTTGACCGGAATAACCTGACATCTTATGGGACCCCCATTCGCAATCATACATAGACCAGTTGGAGTGGGGTCAAAAAACATCGCTTAGGTTCCTTTCAAATTCATATGGCAAAAAATCGCATGCTTCAACGTTTTATGCTGCGCCTGGACTGCCCGAGTTGTCATGTCGTAGGAAAGTAAAGAACTTAATATTTTTCATAACATATTACATAAAAAAACTGTTCTTTTTAATTTTGATGTCTATTTTTAGCATAGCGTGAGCAGTTACAGAAGACACAAGCATGAGAGACTGATTCGTGAGTTTCGTTGCAGGAAAGACGTTTTAAATATTCCCTTTTTTTCGGGTGCTGTTTGCGGGTGGAATTAGTTGCCCTGCAGCATGACGGGTATTGTCTCTTTTGCTACATTTTCTAGTACAATTGATGAACTTTTCTTCGTTAGAATGGACTCAAATGACTAAACTGATTACTCGTTTTCCTGAATGTTTATGTGTATTTATTTACTTTGCTGACTTTTTTTTATTTTTTTCCTACACCAGGCCTTAGCCTTCAAAAGTTGGCCTGCAGTATCTTCGAAATAAATCAAGAAATAAAACCGTCAGTCTAAGGTATCATATCTGTGTGAGATGTGGCCGGACCAATACGCCGTCGCACTGCCATTTGTGAACGCGCCAATTACAACAGGATTGATCGCCTCTCTTTATGACATTCCCAGCCTCCGGACTGCGACGACGTGAGGCACAACCTCCGACGTCGACGTGACGTGGAAGCCAAGGGCGACCTCAAGGCCATGGAGAAGCAAGAGCAGGACGTTCGCGACCTCAGCATCGAGGTCTTCTCCGGACTCTACGTCAACGAAGTCTCGGACCTCGAGGACCCAGAAGGTTCGTTGCATTGCGTCTGAACCAATGTTGATGAACGCGGTAGAAAGAGTAGTAGTCAACGTTTCAAGGAGAGAGAAAAAAAAACGCAGCAACTCAAATTTCTCACGTTCTACTCCTATCTCTTGCCATATTGTCTGCTGCAGCTCGTAAAAAAGCACGACAGTCTCCTCCCACAAAGCCCTTCACTCTTTCCACTTTAGAAAAGAAAACAGTGTAGTTGAGAGGAGGAAACCACCAATCATGGCGAGTAGAGAGCTTTGTGGAAAGGTCCTGTCCTGCGTTCCTTAGCCTGCAACAGTATATAGTTTCTTGGAGTGTTCTGTCCTTCTACCGGGAACGCACTTTTTATGCGGTAAATTATTTGAGAAGCGGAAATTTATGTTCAGGAGCAATCTTGAGATATTGTGAAGATTTTAGAGCGAGAGGGCCATCTATCTGACTTTGAGATTTGGCGATATCGGTTTACGTGTAGATTCATAACCCGAAAAGCTTACGTGCATCGCGCAACCTTGCACGCAGAAGCGATGTGAATAAGTGAGTTTATAAAAAGAAAATCACAACAAAAAAGAAAAGAGGAAAAAATGCGTAACGGGAAGCTCGATAGCGGAACCATCTTTCTTGTTTCGCTTAAGGAAAAGGAAATCAAGAGTTGTTGAGAGGACGAAAAGGCGCCTAAGGTGCCTCCTGACGTCTAGCAGTCGGGATTAGAGAATCTGTCAGAGGCTCGTAGCTTTGAGGAAATCAAAGATGGCCCGGAATACCTTGGTCCCGGCCACTCGTGGTCCTTTCGGAGAAAGGAGGCTGGGAATCCTGGGTGCCGATGCTACTGCCTGCATGCCACTGCCTTTGGAGATCGTTCCTTGATCTGTTGTGTTCTGGGCACACCTCCCACAATGTGCTGTGGACCTTCTGCCATGTCAGAGCCGGTGTGTTTCGTGTGTCCTGACCGCGCGTTTCCTTTTCCGTGTCCCCGCGAACAGTGAGTGCCAAGCCGACCTCGTCGGCCAGCTCGTCGGACCACGACTTCTGCGTGTCCTCGCGCAAGTTCGCCATCGGCATCGCCATCGCGGGCGTGCTGCTCATGCTGGCCGTCATGCTGCTGGTGGCCTGCATCCTGCACCGCCGACGCCGCAGGAAGGGCTCCAGCACCGCCGGAAGCTCCATCTACTCCGGACCATACTCCAACCACGCCTACTCCAGGGACTGAGCGTCGCGGGCTGCCTTCACTGCGGGCAGGGCTCACCGCCAGCCAGCACACAGCTGGACTCGTGTTCTCTCTGACCCTGCCTGTCTGTCTTCCCGGTTTTCAATTTTTTTTTTATTGTGGGAGGGGGGGGGGGGGGGAGGGTTAATGAAGCGCATGGGATGATAGTTGGGGGAGGGGGGGGGGGGGTGGAGGGGATTAAGGAATTTAGGAGCTCCGTGTTACAGCTGTCCACGGGGGGATCGAGACGAAGGACATTGTGATGGCCTTACGACCGGACAGCCGAAAGACCACCTCCCAAAATAGTATCGCAAAACAAAAACAAAATTGGGTGGTACGTTTTATCGTACATTAATCCACGACTGTGTGCTGGATCAGAATGTCTGACACAATAATCAGTTAAGAAAAGTATTTGTGACACATGATCTGTTTGTGATGTGAAATGGCGAGGCGGTCTCTTGGTATCCCTTCCAGATTGTCAGTCTGGTCTATTCTCTTTAATTTCTAAACATTTGACTAAAGGCACAGGTCGCGAAATACATGTTGCGCCATACTGTTCCCTGCAAACTGGCACAACTTAATATTACCTAAAAAATTTGTTTTCGTTTTTTTGCTGGCAAGAAAAAAAAAGAAGTGACTGCGTCACTACCGCAATGTAAGCTTCTGTGGCAAAACGAGCGGTCGAAACGCTTCCCTCCTCCTACATATATTAAAATATACATATATTTTTTTTTTATTTTTTTTTTTCAAGTTGTTTTAGCGCCACGCGATTTTGTTTTCCACTACACCACACGCACGGAATTGGCTTTCCAGTTCTTGGAAAAAAAACTGAAACAGAGAGGTATTAACTAAATTGATCGTTTAGAACAGTTCTGGGGACACGAGCTACATAAAGTCGCGTGATGACTCTGGAATTAAAAGGCTGTAGAACCCTGCTGACGACAAAAACATCGGGGGAAACTTCAGAGCCGGCTTGCTGGAAACAAAGTCATGTGGTCCTGTCGAAGTCCGTGTCAAGGAAAATGCATTTTTGACAGGCCAGGGGCGCTCGCTCCGACCTTGACAGCGCCTTTCCTTAAACTGTCCTAGATTAGACCGGCTGATTTCATAACGAGCAAGCCGGCCCAAATGTCGGGCAAGCAACAAGCGCCAACAGTACTAGCAGAGAGCAGCTGTAGGACTACTTTCGATTACCGCCTGTACATATTGTTTACGTGTTCTGGAAAAAAAAATGTTTTCTTCTAGTTTCTATTCGTTTTGTTTTAGTTTAATTCGACTCGAAAAAGAGTCTCGGTGATGTTTCTTTTTTTCTTTTTTAATGGTGAGGCACGTGAGTGAAGTTACTTCTCTTATCGGGGATCAGGTCATAAAAGTTCATTCTGATAGTTTGTACAAACCTCCCGGATAACATGGAATAGGAAAGCTAGACAATATCGAAGACGTCTTTGTGATAAGCACGAAGGTAACTGCGGTTGATTAATAACAAGCATCTGTAGTATAGATTAAAATTGAAGAAAACACTAACTCCCCAGACGTTTGCGTTTACAAATTAGTCGCAAAAATAAACATCCGCACACTCGTCCCCAACACATTTCGGTCGTTGCCAATGTATCACGCTCTACCAAACGCTGAACGACTGGATGAAATATTGAAGGCTGGAGCCTGATCACGCCCATATTAAAAAAAAAATAATTATAATAAACACACGTGCCTCGATCATCATTGTTTATTTTATTTTACTTTTTATCCCAGGCTTGACAGGTTCGATGCGAAATGCGCGAAATTTCCTTTTTTATGCCCCTGTACGCTCTCTTAATTTATTACGACGATAATAATAAATATTACGAGTGACGGAGGTTGACGCAAGAGCGCGAATGCGTGGTTAACGAAACGTCCAGCCCACATGTTATGGCAGCTAGCCGATATACACGACACACAACACACGTAATTATATATATATATACATATGTCTGTGCCAAAAGCTTAATACTTACCTTCTTTTTTTTTTTTGCCTTTCGTCTTTTTTTTTTTTTTTTTATGAAACTTTTTCAGCGATCAATCTTTTCCAGGAACCCTTCTTGCGTTCGGTTAACTCCCGGGACCCTAGCAATTCGGAGACAGTAGTGCGCTGAACAGCACGGTCGCCTAATCATCACGGCCTCTGGGCACCGTGAGCGAATGAATGGTCGCTAGGAGTCGCCGATGGTCACACTGGTTACGAGGGTTACGAATCTCAAAGGACTGACCACAATTCACAAATATATTGCACCACTACTTTCACAATGATTAGAAAAAGAAAGATTTTTTCACTCCTCTAAGTTAACCTTATTCAAAGAGCTACACCAAGTTCCGTTGTATATCGGCGTGTTTGTGTTTTTTTTTTTTTCACTCTCTTCTCAACGGTTTACCGTTATCAGTTACTAGCCGTGTGTTTCCAGTGTGTTTTATCCGGTGAAGGGGGGCCCCATGTCTTGATGCTGGCAGTCAGCTGTTTTCGTGATTGTCTACATCTTGCGTTCTTGTTTTAATCGTTGTTTCTCGAATGACGAAGCGGCAGCCATGTTTCGACGGAGCACAAACTATACCCGATGCAACTGCGCTTGCGAGTCGGCGTTTGTCAAGGATATGTGACCGAGTCACAGCCTTGTCCTAGGCCGCGTACATACAAGCACTTGACCGGTGACAGCAGCACAGACCAGTTTCAATCAAACTCCACTTACAAACAATTAACGCTCGTTAAAAAAAAATACAGCACGTTGATTTAGTAGTGTAACAAACAAACACGCTGAGCGTTTGCCTTTCATACCCCTAGCTCAGTCCTGGAGTGAGTGGTAACGACGACTAACTCTGGAACAGTCCGTTCAAGTACGGCTGACTCGTCAAACGCAGTTGATTGTGCGTCCCTTGGAATATGGCTGCGGAGGCATTGTAAGCGTCCTCCACGTCTAAGCACTGTCCGCCTGATTGTTTTGGCAACAGCTGATTGCGAGAGAGGAACGGGGATTAGTGTGTTTCCTTGTTCTATGAAGAGTTGGCGAGGCTGACACCGACAAACTGTTCAGCGCAGCGTGATACAACTAAAAAGATAACTGAAGATTATAGTTTGGGACTGTTCCCTATTTTGAAAGAAAGACTGTACAGTCTCGACAAAATAAAAACAACAGCAAAGTAACAACAACGAAAAAACTGGTAAGCAGAAAACTAGGTAAGCATATGCAAATAAATAAGGCACTCCAGGTTTTATGTAGCAAAATTTTGGTTGAATCAAATAAATAAAAAAAATTGTACTACATATTTGAAACGAAATGAATTCAGCTCTTTTAGGTGCCCTCAAAAATACAGTTAGGGTTCTTCTGCTACTGGCTAAAGTAAAGATCAGAAAATTTTTATAATTTGTTTTTAGATTTCTCGCTTAACCGCTGAGAATTGCAATATGAGAATCAATATTTTACTCCATTTAACATACACACATACGCGAATTGGCAATAATAGTCGAAAGTTCAGGATAGTCGCAAAAAACAATGAAGATAGGCTACAGACATAAGTGTTTCGAGCACAGCAATAGTAGGGTTTAGTAAAATTATAACCGCACAAAAAAAAAATAACTCGTCTACTTCACCACCGCTAATTCCCTTTTTAACCGCAGCTTAGGCGCGGTATTGGCGGCCAGAACCGCTCAGATAGTGTTCAATGTTACGCGTGTGCATTAGGATTCGGTTCAGCAGAGAAAAACGGTGTCTTGGGTCTCGCCATTTTGGGAGCTCGAGCGGCGATTCCGTCTTGAACTGACCTTTAGGGTTAGTGTTTCCACCAACCCCTTAAAACGTGGTTCATCCTCGATCGTTTCGTACTTTCGCGCCCATCTCGGCGGAGACGGGACTTCCTTTTTTTGTGTGTAGCGTACCCTTTTCCGCCGAGAATGGTTGCGGCTGAGGCTGGTTGTGGTGGTGGCTGGTTCTTTTATTTCTTTTTATACTGTTTTTCTTTTTCGGTTGATAGCGAAAATAAAACCATCTCGAGGATGTACCACGTGGCATGCGTTGCACTGCCCGAGTAAATAGCTCATGTAATATATGCCACCTACACAATTCCTTTTTACTTGTTACGTACATTTATATAAATATATATATAAGTTTGTATCACGCAGCCACGGCAGCAGCGCCAGGTTCATGTTGCGGAAACTAGCGATGAGTCGGTCCCTTCAACGACAAAGTTGAAAGGGTGTCGACACGTAGATTTTACCTGCCTCGCAAGTCCGCGGCGATGACAATGTGAACCATGGCATGTTTGCTGTCGTTCGCTAACATAACGCTGTATTTTGCAACCAGTACGTAGGCCTGGTTGGATAAAGCAGGTACGAGTGTAGCCTTACAAGCTGAAAGCCTTCGCAGCTGGAGTACCTGCCAGTAAGACCTCAGAAGCATTCTGATGCGGTAGCGCTATAGAACGCAAGATACTCAGATGAGCCGTGCAGCATAACTTAGTGAGCCTAGATTTGAGAGCGTTTCCAACTGCACGATGGGGTCACGTGGTTTATGGGCCGCGTTTGCAATACGAGGTGCGAGGAGATCGTCTGGAAACATCTCCGCCTTTGCGCTCGGTATTATTCTCGCCACGTGGCAACGCAACGCGTGCGCAATCAATCTGCGCAGGTAGTGTCTATCATTAAGTTGCAAACGCACTACGTGGTCTGAGTTGCCCCCTCTCGTAAATCTAGACTCTAGCATAATTAAGGCGAACTCACCCCGCACGACGGATCTATCGCATAAAAATGGAGAACGCCGCGCCGAGGTAATAGCAGACGATGTTATCGGTTGAGCACGAATTGCGTCGTCTCCTTTCTGGCCCGAGTTTAAGATTTGCCTTATTTGATCGTAAAACGTTTCTGTTCACGTAATTGATACGCCATGCCACTGGTTCACAGTAGGACTTAGACTCGATTACTGCCCTTTTGTTGTTTAGCTAGGTTGTGTTTTTTTCGCTCTCGAGTGGTGATTATCTGT